CACAAAAACCTAACAAGGTGGTGAGTCTTAGAGGACCACCCGTTGATTCCTATGATTCGAAATAAGACAGATAAGACAGTAGAACAACGTAGGGAACACTGCATTCTAACAGTCACCGGTGTCAGAAAAAACACCCAGGTCACATGCCATATTGATTTTGAATCATGACTGGCAAAGTTAAAGAATGCCTCTACAGGGATGCTAATGCAACATTAGCGACTTTGAACAACTACTATTTGCTGGATAATGTGGTACCTACCATTATAAAACAGCGCTACTACGAACGCTGAACAAGAATTGGCGTGAAAATTTCATTCCGATCTCGTTTTCAAGTACTGTTTAGATAATGGGTTGATTAGGTGTACGAATAAGATTAGTATTAGGGTTAGGATCAGGGCTGGGATCAGACTTAGGGTGTTTTATTTTTATAGTCTGTATTTTTCTAGTGAATAAACGGCACCTGTATGTAAAGAACACTGGTTATTCTGATTAGTGACCACAAGATTAGTCATGCATTCGCACTTCTTAGGTCGGTTATCTTTAACTTTGCCTCACGATCTTCCAACCCTCAATTAGGTCTATCAAATATTCATCAAATCCATCAATCTTATGCAAGAGAACTGCATTTCCGGGCAAGTAAAATGTGCTGTAGCGGTAGACGACAAAAGATTTGATAAAGAATGCTCATTTACTATTAGGTATCTCTATATAGCCAAATTATGTACACCTTATCTTCAAATCACCATTTGCACAGATCTTCCGTGCTGCACTACTTCTGGCTATCATATTGTGTTGCTTTGTGTTCCTTTCACGTCTCCCATGTATCCCTGTGACGCCGTATCATTTGCTTTCTCTGACATGGAATCTATGTCCCTGTTATTTGACGTTTTTACGCCGATGAAAGTTTCTTTATATGCTACTGATAGATCTTATCAGTAGCATACGGCACAGTATCACCTGTACTAATTTCTTTCGAAATGTTACTAAAATTACGAATTATTATATTTTTTTCTGAATGTTGAATATAAAATTCACATAAAATAAATTGCAACTAAGAAATTGTGCATACATTTGTCTACTGGATTATGTGCGAAGATTATTCATTCTGTATGACAACATGAGAGGTTAGAACTCAGTTAGTTCCCTGGAACAGGTCCTTTTACATATCAGGCTATGAGTCACACTCACTCATTGTGTAACAGCTGATAACACTATACAGTTGCCTAGATTGCAGTAGCTTGAGTAGAATTCAAACCTAGAACCTTCTAGCTGGAAATCAGGCTCATAAAACAACGACTCACATCTCTACACAAGTACTGGTTATCTGATAGGTAGGTGAAGCGATAGGACCTACGGACTCACTTGCAAAATGACCATTTTCTACACAAATCCTCTAAAATACTAATTCTTTAAGAAAACCGTAAAACACTGAAACACGCGTCTTAAATTCAATGCGTAAACTAACTTTTCAACTGTTTTGACAACTCCCGACTAGGATCTCTTTCTAAAGCTTCCATACGAGCGAACAGATCAAAAAGTGATTGAGGCACAGGTGGATCAGTTGCCAACATTTTCGCCGGATCCAAGTAAAGCGTGGATAAAAATTCACTAAGAGGGAGGAAGACAAAAGAAAACACACACACACACACAATGAAACTGTATAAGTATATACCCCTTTACTGTGTACAAGGGAAAGAATTACATTTATCCCATATGAAGGCTAGCAATGTTCATTAATTGCCTAATATACGATGGGCTGAATAGAATTCAAACTGGTAGTAGGCTGAACTGAAAGTTTTAACCAAATTAAACAATTTAAAACAATCAATCCCCTTTATAAATTTGGCTAGTGTTCTTAGAAGACGGAGATTGGCCTTAGAAATGTGATGAATTATGCGTGTAATATACATATCGTACAATCTGACTATACATTTACTTGTCAAGTCAATTTATGTGTATGTAAAATAAAGGCAATATTTAAATTTTCACAACTTCTATCCGTTACAGTATAATAGAGGCATGGTGATGTGTTTATTTAAGAGAAATCAGCGTATTGGTACAGCTGATTTTAAAGAGAATGACAGTATAATATATTGATGGCTACTCTTCTCGAAAATGGATATCCTTTAAAAAATTTTAAACCACCTGGGAAGCATCGTTGCAACTACAGGCGGAACTGACGAGGATATCAAAGAAAGAATCGGAAAAGCAAGACAAGCTTTCACTACTCTCAAGTCTGTGTGGAGGTCAACAGCACTCAGCATGAAAAATAAGATCCGGATTTTCAACTCCAATGTGAAGTCAGTGCTACTCACTATACGGATCAGAGACTTGCACTGCGCGTCATAAAGAGCATCTCAAACAAACTACAGACCTTCATTAACAGTTGCCTTCGCTCAATACTCAAGATCAGATGGCCGGCCAGAAAAGATCAGCAACAGAGATGGATCTCTGGGAGCGAACCAACCGAGCAGGAACCGATTGTGAAACAAATAGGCAGGAAGAAATGGAGATGGATTGGCTGGCCATACTCTGAGGAAACAATCCATCAAGTGACATCACTAGACAAGCCATTGCTCGAGTGGAACCCGACTGAAAGGGAAGCGGCGAGTTGGTCGTCAGTGCAAGGGTGAGGGTGACTTGGAGGAGGTCATGTGAAGAGGAGATGAAAGCGTGTGGGCAGACTTGGAGCCAGGTGAAGACTCTAGCAGAGAACCGAATGCAATGGAGACGCACGGCTGAAGCCCTATGTTCCTCTAGGAATTAAAGGAAACAATAATAATAATATAATAATTCTGTCCCTAATAAATATGTTTACATTAAATTACCATACAATGAGGAGGTGGGTAGTACGATTTTAAGACACAGACGACACTTGGTCAATCACAGAACCTATTGTGCAACATGGCTTATTATTATTATTCAAAAAGCCAAAAATATGCTCCATTGCAAGCCTAGGAATTGCACAAGTGATTATGTCACATCCCACAATATATACCGATTTACGTGTGTGTGTGTGTGTGTATACAAAAATAAGGAGGAGCAATCACCCTTTGCATGTGAGGGTCGGAGAGTTTATTCCAAAGAGGTTAGAAAAACAGGTAAACTTTGGAATAACGACAGATGTAGGTAGCGAACTATAGCTACACATCTAATCGATATGAAACACCAAAATAGCATTTAGGATTATTCTTAAACCCGGTTAAGGACGCATAATGAAATTCGCAGCGAAGATAGTTATCAGTAAACACAAAACCACGCCCACCCACCTAAACGTATATGCACAAAAAACACCTTATTACCTTCCAACTAGAGTAATAAACCTTATCCGATTACGTAACCCATAGAAATGTTCATTGTTCTTATGCTTACCGAATCGTGTCCCTCACTTTCTGTATTCTATTCCCGTTACCTCCCAAATAAATCCACTTCACAAATGTATTTCATCATAAAACACCACATCCAAACCATTAGCAAAAACTATCACATTACACAAACAATCTCCTGGAGCAATTTCGGTTTTGATTTCATGAAATGATGAGCACAATTTAGCACTGATGACTTGAAATGACTTAGGCCTTCTAGTGGGTTCTCTATCAGGTCTTTAGTCTGGTTGATCAGATTTTCAAACTGCACCTGATCATACGGTGTCTTTTCAGTTGATTGAGGGATACAGAATTTCGAGTCATATGATGATAATACTTTCATTTGAATAGGACTCAAATTAATTGAGGAGTAGTTAAAGATGTCTTTTCCAGGGCGTTTCGGGAATCCCCCGCCTCCCCCCCCCCCACATGCTTCTGTTAGCTTCAGTAGACTCTTGAACTTCAGATTAGCACTATTATCACACTAGTTTTTATAACGATAGTAATTGTACACGAACACCTCTGGTAAAAGTTCACTTAGCACATGTGACGTTCGTGCAGTTTTTCTTTCTAAATCATAAATCCGAGAACGCATAGCATCTAAATTGTTAAGTGTGTGTGACATTTTAAAGTTTCGTAACTTCGATAAGTCAGTTTAAGAAGTGAATTTATTTCAGAATATGTAGAATAAGAAAATTATTGTGAGTTGTGAACTAAAGGAGAGATGCTATTGAAGTGAATTAGACAGTTGTCATATATATCTTTCTTGAATGAACTACTATAAGCTAAAAATGATAGGTCAAATATGTTCTCTCAGTTTATTTTACTTAAATAATGCACTTTATCTAGGTTGTTTATAAGCAAAACAAACTACTTATTACAAGCTTTTATGTGTCTTCATCAAACATTTATTATTATTATTGTTCCCTTGGGTTCCTAGTGGAACATAGCGCTTCAACTGCACATCTCCACTTGCTTCTGTCTTCTGCTGTACTTTTCACCTGCATCCATGTTAGTCCATACTCTTTCAACTCTTCTTCACACGATCTCCTCCATGTCACCCTTCGATGTCCCACTCGCCGCTTCCCTTTCGCGTTCCACTCGAGCACTGGCCCATGCGCTATGTCACCCAACGGCCTCCTCAGCGAGTGTCCAATCCATCTCCACTTTCTCCTGCATATTTGTTGATAGATTGGTTCTTGTTTTGTTTGTTCCCATAGTTTCTTGTTGGTGATTCTTTCCGGCCATCTGATCTTCAGTATAGAGCCAAGACAGTTGTTGATAAGGGTCTGCAACAGGCTGTTGGAAATATTCTTCGTGACCCGCTGCCAAGTTTCTGATCAGTATAGAAGAACTGACTCACTTGACGTTTGTATTGAAAATCCGAATTTTGTTGTTGATGCAGGCTGAGTGACAGCGGAAGATTTCCAGATTGGTTTCAGGTTGATGAATGTGTTTCTCGCCTTCCCGATTCTCGATTTGACATCCTCGTCCGCTCCTCCTGTAGTTGAGACAATGAATGCTCCCTAGATAAGTGAATGAAGTAACCTCTTTCAAGTCCCTCCCATTGATGGTGATTGGCGCTGGATGTTGCTGTTGTTGTTGTTGTTGGTTGGTTATTTTCATAACCTCCGTCTTGTCTATGTTCACCTGGAGTCCTGTCTTCACTGCCTGCTTCTTTGACCAGTTTGTTGGTTTTCGCTTGTAAGTCTTCGATTTTGTGTGACATCAAACATAAATCATCCACGCGCGAAATCCAGGTCTTCTAGGTTCTTCACGTCGGTCCAGGATATCCCTATCTTCCCGTTTCCCACTGTCTGACGCATAATCCAGTCCACCACAATTAGCAATATCATTGGTGATAATAAGCACCCTTGTCTGACTCCTGTGTTTACTCCAAACGCTTCGCTGAGTTTTCCGTTGTGGATCACTTGACATGTGCCGTTGTCGTACAGCTGTTGAATAAGGTTGATGAATATTTGGGGTACACCGTAGTACTCGAGTAGTTTCCAAATTACTTCGCGGTCAACGCTGTCTGTCGAAGGCCTTCTCAAAGTCTATAAAGGAAGTTGAGGTAGAGGTTTGATTGCCATTCCATGGTTTGTTCGATGATGATGCGTAGAGTTGCAATTTGGTCAGAACATGATTTGCCTTTCCTGAATCCACCTTGTTCTGGTCGGAGTTCTGTATCCAGTGCGTCCTTTATTCTCTCCAGGATGATGCGACTCAGGATTTTACTTGACGTCGACAGGAGCATGATTCCTCACCAGTTCTTGCAGAGTCCCAGGTCGCCCTTCTTTGGTAGTTTCACCAGGTAACCTTTCCTCTAGTCAGTAGGCACCTTCCTCTCCTTCCAGACGTTTTGCGATAATGGAGTCAGCATATCTGCTGTCGTCTCTGGGTTGGCTTTCAGTGCTTCCGGGGGTATTCCATCTGGTCCAGCTGCTTTTCCAGCTTTCAGAAGCTTGATTGCATTCATGACTTCAGTTTTCGTTGGAGGATTGGTGTCAACTTGCAGTTGTGTACGTGCTGTTGTTGGTATTTCTGGACGAGTTGCAGGTGGTGGTCGATTCAAGAGTCCTTTGAAGTGATCCACCCATTGTTTAATCTGTCTTTCTTCCTTGGCCTCCAAAGCCTCAGGATGGTCGGGGGTGGGTGCCTTGCGCTGCGGGTTGGCCACCTCTCCGCACACCTCTTGAAATGCTCCCATATGACCGGGCGTCTTACATAGCCTCTCCTGAGGAAGTCCTACTCACTGCCTTCACGTGGCGGAGGTGTTTTTCACCAAAGTGAGAGGGCGAAAGCGGATGCCCGGCGCTCTTCACCGGGTTGACTGTCCATTGGATGACAGTCTAGGGGAGATGGCTAAACCCTGATTCCAAACCTCCAACGACTGGCGTATGAAGCTCACTGGAGCTCACCGGCAGACGTATGGACAAAGGGCTTGTTGGATGTCCTGGATGTCTGGCCCCATTCAAAAAGGCGTATGAACCGAACTCCGGTCACCGGCTGCCAATGGATAGTGGACTCCCTACTCCACTCCTACTGCCTTGTAGGTCACACTTGGTTGTGTAAAGGCTAGAGCTGCACTCTCAAACAAAAGGCCGAGCGATTCTGGGGACATCACTCGTACCAAATTCCCATGAAACTTCATGAACTCTCTTACAAACGACTTTCAGTCAAGGCTGATGTGGAGTGCCTGGGGCTACAAACCGTCTACGGACTCCGTCTGTAGAACAAGAATTGGACAACCCTGTCGCAAAACCTTGCATCAGATCGCCGCGCCTGGGCAGCGATGATTCGAGATGTTCATGAAGCCGGCTCATCCTCTCGTAGGAGATAGCCGAAGTAAAGAAAGTAAAGAAGGTAATTAGGTCCCCTTGGCTGTCTTTTATAGGTTTCACTTGTGTTGATCTCTTCCAGGATAGAGACTTGGTTATCTGATATAGTGTCCTTAGGTCCCTTTTGCCTGCTGCCTTCTCAGCTTCAGTGGCCAGATTGTCGTAGAATTGTCTTTTGTCCTTCCTGGCACTCTTCTTCACTTCTTTGTCCAGTGCTGTGTAAGGTGAACTCAGCGTCTCCTTTTCTTGTCCATCTTTGCATTGAATCATTTTCTCTTTCACCATTCTCCTCTCCTCTATTAGCTTCCAAGTGTCCGTTGAGCTATTCCTTATCTTGTCTCTTCTTTCTTCCTAAAACCGTTGAACACGTTTCGTTAAAAATCACCTTCAGAGAGTTCCAATGGTCTTCCACGCATGATTCTTCCATGATGTCACGTAGTGTTTCCTGCTTTGCTCTGACAGTTGCAGTGAAAGTATCCTTTGTGGTTGTGTCCTTCAGTTTTTGAATGTTGAACCCGAATGGGAAACGACAAGTTCGGTGTGGTTCCGAGGATGAGACAGAGGAGAGCGTATGTATAGGAAATCAAAGTTTATAGCCAATAGTATAAGCAGCTAAAACAGACAGCAGAGGACAGATAGTTCAGTTGAAGATCTGTGCCCCAGTAGGTCAGTCGGTCGGTTTTCGACATAGAACTTTGCACATATGTGCCGCAGTTCAAGTCGCCACACTCCATGTAGTACACAAAGCATGAGAAGAAAGTAGAAGAAATGCATAGTATAGACAGTAAACAGAGGTGTGAGACAAAGGTATAGTAATAACGAAGAACAATATAGTTTCATTGGATATTGTAAGTCACACACCACCAGCCATTGAGAACGATTTTGAGCCATGTCACCAACTGTTTCCAACCATTGGATTTTACCGTCCCGAGGACACCAACCAGGAAGTCTACATCTTCCTACGTGTCTGGCTTAAACTAACTGTCGTCTATTTCATTGACTGGTGCCATGATTTCGTTTGACCGCCGCTAGCTCTTTTCCAGTCTGACCCTATATCAGCTAACACTGCCCATTGTCGAGGAAGGCGATGACTAGGCAAAAGTAGCACATGTCCTAACCATCTCAGTCGATGTAATTTCACAGTCTCGTCGACTGATTTCCCCTCCCTCCGTACCTAGAACTCGATCGATGCCTAACCTCAATATTTCTCACCTTATTATGCCACTCAACACAGAAGATAAAACACAAACACCTATGATCAAAGACAGCTAGCCAGCCTTTTCATGTCTTTCACTCTCAATGGCCAGGTCTCACAGCCATAAAGGAGGACGGAGCGGACTGTTGAGCAGTACACACGCCCTTTGGTCGATAGTCCAATATCACGTCTACGCCAGAGACGGTGTAAACTGGCTTATGCGAACCTAGCCCTCTGTATCAGTGCTGAGATTTCGTCTGAGATCAACCCGTTGGGGCTGGTGGTACTTCCCAAGTAAGTGAAGTGGTCAACGTGCTCTACCACTTCACTTCCTATTTCTAATCTAGGGGTCGATGAAGTCCAATCATGCAGCATCATCTTACATTTTACAGGGGCGAATCGTAATCCAAACATACGAAGATTGTTGCTCAAGGTGCTCAGAAGACTCTGTATTTTGTCAGCGTCTTCGCCTAGAAGGACTATATCGTCCGCATATTCTAAGTCGACGAGATTCTTCCCTGGTAGCAAGTCAATCCCTGAGTCGCTGAAGTGTGTTAGGGTTAAGTCCATTAATACGTCTATGATGAAGTTGAATAGGATTGGGGATAATTGGCATCCTTGACGGACGCCACTAGTCATCACTTCAGATGAAAACTCGCCATAGGCCCTCACCTGGCTGCATGAGTACGAGTAGAGTGCCTTAATCAGTGTAATGTATTTTCTCGACATTCCCTTCACAGCCAAGCATCGCCAGAGAACCTCTCGGTCGACAGAATCGAATGCCGCCTTTAGGTCAAGAAATATAGTGATTGTCGGAGGCCGGTAGGAATGCCTATGTTCTAGAATCTGTAGAAGGGTGAAGATATGATCAATACACCCTCTAACTGGTCTGAAGCTTGCCTGGTTTTCTCGTGTTTGTGCCTCCCGAGCACCACTTAGTCTACGCAGTATTATTGAGCCTAGGATTTTAGATGCTCCAGTAGGAACCCACTGGCCTACTGTGATATAATAGCCATCACTTGTGGAACCGATAGCAACTGTCACTTGTTAATAGCGTTATTTTAAATTTCACACTGACTGATTATTTTTCGAGTGCCCAGTTGATGAGTTCCAAATAGGACGACACGTGGCTGTGGGACATGGACATTCAAAGTGGAATATTTGAGGAGGCTACCTGTCTTTGACCGCAGATGTTCACGTCCTATCTTCCATGTTAGGTGATATAGTAGGTGAGTAATATTGCGGTTAGGCATCGAGTGTTAGGTAGGAAGCGAAATTCAATATATGAGGTTGTGAGGCTACATCAATTGGGAGATGGCTTGGACACGTGCAGTACAGTACACATGTCAAGACACAGCCTTCTCCATCGAGAAATGTTAACTAATATACGGATTAGGTTGCAAAAGAATTACAGGTGGTCGGACAGCATCAATTCATGAAGTCTTTGACCACCGATCTGAACCTCTAATGTAGGTGTGTGCTGTTTGGTTCGATCACCCCAGATACTACGAATCAATGCCTTCAAGGCTGCTGTTAGTGTAACTCAAAATCGTTCTTAATTGCACAGACGCTTTCACTGTTTTCAATCTCCCAGATCCACTAAATCCTCAAGTTCCTCTATGTAATTATTCTTTCTTAGAATTCATAGGCCATTGGATCGGGTCCCAGTGGCTTAATGGTCGACGAGCGAGCTCGCCTTGTAACCAGAAGGTCCTGGGTTCGAACTCCGGCGGGTGCGTACTGTGAAGAGTCCCAAACTGGGACGAAACAGCTGTCCAGTACTCCCAGGTTTTCCAATGATCCTCTAAATGATGTCAGCAGCTCATGATGAAATCATCCAAACAATTATTCTTTCTCTCGTACATTTCAGTTCATTGTAAATCATTTGAATTTTTTTTCTCTGTCACTGTCTACTATATTACATGGAGTATAGCTGCTTGAACTGCTTCACTTGTGTTCAAAGTTGTACGTTGAACACTACTCACAGTTAGGCAGTCACAGTCACACTGTACAATCGATAATCGACATCATTTTATCAGCAAGTCTTGACTTAAACATAAAGAAAAAAGCCTCAAGGAATACAATTATTGATTTTGGATAAACCATTAAGAAAACAGTAAAGATTTAACTCACTCTAATTCAATCTCCTTTGATTCAACTTCACCGGTTAAACTACGCAGAAGTGATGCCTTCATTTCACTGCAAAAAAATGAGCACAAAAGTAAGTTTTAAATAAAAAAATATATACAGTCTAAAACCAGATATGATCAAATAATAGTGATATGATGATCGGCTTTTAGATTTGATGCATTTTCTCTTGCCATTTTTGTTGACTTGTATTCGTTTACATTTCATTCATTTGCGAAATACGCATTCGGATCCCACTCGAGAGTCTGGCGCGAGATGTCAGTCAGTCAACAGCTTCCCTCAGAGTGTGCCCGATGCATCTTCATTTTTTTCTGCATTCGGTTGACCAATATGTCCGTGAATGATTTGTTCCCAGAGTTTCTTGTTAATGTAAGTGTAGAACTTAGGCAATTCTATATTCAATAAGCTTATTCTAAATATCATACAGTGATGCAGTGTATTAACAAATGGATGACGTTTCGAGCATCAATTTGATATGATTATGTGAATGGCAATAACTTAGGCTCGAAATATCATTCAGTTGTTAATACTGCAACAGCACACTGTGTAATACTCAAAAGTAAACTTATCTAGTACAGGGTTTCTCATTGTTTTTCCTTTAAGACTGACTATATGGTCTTCAGTATGGAGAGAAGGTACTTGCTAGTAACAGTTTGAAGCTTGTTCCAAATGCGATTCGTCATGCACCAGGTTTCTAAGCCACATAGAAAATATTGGCTTAACACTGCACTGGTGTTGAAATTCATATGAACTGTGATCAAAAGATTTAACCGGTTAGTTCCAAAATAATTAGGCACCGAATGAGAAGTAGACATAGATAAAAACTATATTTGTAAAATCTCAGAGAAACTGAAATGAATAATTCCAACGTTTCGTTAGGCAAAATGATCCAGACTTCTTCAGGGAAATTAATCAAAATTAAAAATTATATATAAATATAAAGGAAGTCCCTTGGTTTTAAAAACTTTGTCCAGTCATATGATTCATGGAACAGGCATCAAAATATAATACACAAAATTACCCCTTTTATAAATTTGGATAGTGTTATAAGAAGACGGAGATTATCTGAAAAATGTGATGTATTTGTGCTATACATTTAGTTATTTTGAAACCTGACAAAGGATCTGGTGTAGTTGTAATGGACAGAAGCGATTTCAAAACAAAAATGTTATCCATCCTTAATGACAAAAGCAAATTCATAGCCGATGTTCCTTCTGATGACATCAGAAAATTGGAAGGAGAAGTAAATTATCAATTAGTAAAACTTCGTGGCATGGACGTTATTGATAAACAGGAGTTTAATTCCTTGAAACCCATGGGATCTGACTTTCCAAACCTCTATGGATTACCCAAAATTCATAAGGTTGATAATCCATTACGGCCAATTCTTTCAATGTGTAACTCTCCTACACATAAATTAGCAAAATGGCTAGCTGATATTTTAAGTCCAGTGCGCAATGAATTATGTAAGTTTACTTTAAAAGATACATTTGAACTTGTTGACTGTATTGTAGATATGAACATAAAAGATAGGAAAATGTATTCATTTGATGTTAATTCTTTGTTTACTAATGTACCATTGGTTAAGACTGTTGATATTCTTTGTGACTATATATCTTCTAGTTGTTTTTCATTTCCTTTTCCTTCAACTTATTTGAAAGATTTATTACTATTATGTAGTGACAACGTCCATTTCACGTTTGAAGGTGAACATTTTCGACAAGTGGATGGCGTTGCTATGGAGAGTCCATTGGGACCTCTGTTAGCGGACGTTTACCTGTCTTATGTTAAGAACTTGTCTCTTGATTTGATTTCTAAATTGCCCTTCTATAGGAGATATGTAGGCGATATCATTTTGATATGCGACGATCATGAAGATGCGAGTCGTCAAGTGGACCCACTTGACATTTTAAGCCCAAAATTATTAATTTTTATTTTTACAATATTGAATTCTATCTTATCTAATTTCACACCATGTTATGTAACATTTTATATTCGTCTACTAATCTTATAATTATGCACCCCTTTCCAAAATCTATACACCTTATGTATTATTCTATATACGACATTGATTACTTTGCCACTTGACATTAAACCATGATTATAATCACAAATATTTTAATTGCATTTCATACTATTCTTATTTCATATATTCACACCTTTGACCTAATTCCCTCACCGGATATAATTTTTATAAAAACCATATATGTACGATTGTACAGCTTGATAATAAATTCGTTGAAAAGAGTCTCTTCGCTGAATATTGTGTTCTTAATTTATTATTAATCTTAACCTATTAATCTTAATCCTTATTTGATTGGATTACCAAACTTTTTTTTATCACTTTGTTTAATTTAACATTTTCATATATATATCGACTTTGACAAGTAAATGTGTCTTCTAAAGTTTGGTTTGTAAGGATTAGTTATGTTTTACGAGTTGATCACGGACTGATATCAGTTAGAGAACCATTGAAAACCAGGGAGTACTGGACAGCTGCTGTTTCATCCTAGTTTGGGAATCATCGGCAGTACGCACCCACTGGGATTCGAACCCGGGACCTTCCGGTTACAAGGCGAGCTCGTATACCATTCAGCCACTGGGACCCGATTCAATGGCTCATGAATTCTAACTTCTACCAATTCGTGACTTTAGCGCGACCCCAACTATTGTCGTTGGTGGAAATCCATCCACACGTGACTTCTAATTGGACCTCACTGGTCACGACTTCTCACTAGAACTGCAGGAAGCTCCAACCTGTAGCAAGTCACTAGCGAGCATCAGAATAATCTTCTAAAGTTTGGTTTGTAAGGATTAGTTATGTTTTACGAGTTGATCACGGACTGATATCAGTTAGAGAACCATTGAAAACCAGGGAGTACTGGACAGCTGCTGTTTCATCCTAGTTTGGGAATCATCGGCAGTACGCACCCATTGAATCGGGTCCCAGTGGCTGAATGGTATACGAGCTTGCCTTGTAACCGGAAGGTCCCGGGTTCGAATCCCAGTGGGTGCGTACTGCCGATGATTCCCAAACTAGGATGAAACAGCAGCTGTCCAGTACTCCCTGGTTTTCAATGGTTCTCTAACTGATATCAGTCCGTGATCAACTCGTAAAACATAACTAATCCTTACAAACCAAACTTTAGAAGATTATTCTGATGCTCGCTAGTGACTTGCTACAGGTTGGAGCTTCCTGCAGTTCTAGTGAGAAGTCGTGACCAGTGAGGTCCAATTAGAAGTCACGTGTGGATGGATTTCCACCAACGACAATAGTTGGGGTCGCGCTAAAGTCACGAATTGGTAGAAGTTAGAATTCATGAGCCATTGAATCGGGTCCCAGTGGCTGAATGGTATACGAGCTCGCCTTGTAACCGGAAGGTCCCGGGTTCGAATCCCAGTGGGTGCGTACTGCCGATGATTCCCAAACTAGGATGAAACAGCAGCTGTCCAGTACTCCCTGGTTTTCAATGGTTCTCTAACTGATATCAGTCCGTGATCAACTCGTAAAAAAGTAAATGTGTGATCAGATTGTTCGAAATGTATAGCGCAAATACATCACATTTTTCAGATAATCTCCGTCTTCTTATAACACTATCCAAACAAAAGTGCATGAACTGTGATAAAAATTTTGACCTCTGACTTACATACATCCTAAATTATGTGTACAAAAAAAACAATAGACTTCAACCTTCGCCTACCATGGACTGACTACTTGACCTATTTAAATGATTGGCCATTAGTATGTACTTTTGTTTTACATAACTGAGTAATTGTCATGCAGTTTTTACTTTAGTATTGTGAACCATGCTAGTTGTGAAGCAGTTGTAGAGCAATTACGAAATGATATAATCTCGCAAAATTTATCTTCTAAATACCTTATTCAAATATTAGTCTACTTTTGTTAAACACTGTAAACAGTGTGTACTTTTTCATCAGAGATTTTAGTGATTACGTTCGACAAAAGTTCATGGTCGTAGATAACTGTATATGAAAAGTACATGTGTATATGAGGTATAAAATGGTGCGTGTGTGTGTGTGTGCCTGTGTGTATGAGGAAACAATTGCAAATCATTCGTCAGCCTCTCTATAAAAAGATATAGACAATCGGGAATTTGGATCAAGTGTGACTGAGTAGTGGTACATATCAGGACTTGCCATGAATCAGCTAACACCACACGTCTGTTCAAACTGTTGGGATTCACCCATATATGTAGGGCTTCTACAGTCTTTCTTCATACTAATCAAAACCTTTCTGCGGAACCTTAGTCCTATCAAAGTCGACTTTGTGTCCCGTTTCTAACGAGTACAGTGCAACTGCCTACCTATTTTCTAGCTTCTTCAAGTTTGAAGAGGTCTTTGGTCGGTCGGTTTTCGACATAGAACTTTGCACATATGTGCGGCAGTTCAAGTCGCCATAATCCATGTAGCACCCAAAGCAAGAGAAGAAAGTAGAAGAAATGCATAATATAGACAGTAAACAGAGGTGTGAGACAAAGGAATAGTAATAACGAAGAACGAACAGTTTAACTGGAAATCATAAGTCAGTCACAAGGAGTGGATGCATCTGCGCCACTGAGAACGATTTTGAGCCATGTCACCAATTGTTTCCAACCATTGGTTTTTACCATCCCGAGGACCCAAACCAGGAAGTCTACACCTACGTGGCTTAAACTAACTGTTGTGGATTTCATTGACTGGTGCCATGTTTTCGTTTGACCGCCGCTAGCTCTTTTCCAGCCTGGCCCTATATCAGCTAACATTGCCCATTGTCGAGGAAGGCGATGACTAGGCATACGTAACACATGTCCTAACCATCTCAGACGAAGTAATTTCACCGTTTCGTCGATTGATTTCCCCGCCTTACCTAGCACTCGACGCCTAACCTCAATATTGCTCACCTTATTATACCACTTCACGCGGGAGATAGAACGCAGACACCTATGATCAAAGACAGCTAGTCTTTTTGCATCTTCCACTCTCAATGGCCAGGTCTCACAGCCATAAAGGAGGAAGGAGCGGACTGTTGAGCAGTACACACGCCCTTTGGTCGATAGTCGGATATCGCGTCTACGCCAGAGACGACGAAAACTGGCATATGCGAACCTAGTCCTCTGTATTCGTGCTGAAATTTCGTCTGAGATCAACCCGTCGGGGCTGATGGTACTTCCCAAGTAAGTGAAGCGGTCAACGTGCTCTACCACTTCACTCCCTATTTCTAATCTAGGGGTCAGTGTAGTCGAATCCTGCAACATCATATTACATTTTACAAGGGCAAATCGCATACCAAACATACGAAGATTGTTGCTGAAGGTGTTCAGTAGACTCTGCATTTTGTCAGAGTCCTCGCCTAGAAGGACTATATCGTCCGCATATTCTAAGTCAACGAGATTATTCCCTGGTAGCAAGTCAATCCCTGAGTCGCTGAAGTGTGTTAGGGGAAGAGCTGCTACCTTGACGTGGTGGTCGGGCTTGAACACTGCAATGACCCAACAAGCTATACTGGCTGGAACTTATGTTCCTGCAGGTCCTACCATGCCAGAAAGGTTGTTTGGATAGCAGTTAGACTAAAAGCAGTTACCCAACCCAATCCTATGATTTCAAATAAATCACAAAATATCATGCCGGATCGGTCGGGGCCCGGATTAACAACGACCGCGCTTTCTGCTGCCGTGTCACAGGGCAGAAGTGATAAATACGCTACTGAGACACACCAAATAAAAAAGAACAAACAAAAGAAAGAAGAGGTCTTTGGAACCACCTCTACACAGTTTTTATGCACCTTCACTCTTATATTTACCTGTCTGGAAGTTTTTCCTACATATACAGCATTATAATCCCCACAATTGTTCTAGTACATACAGTTCTGTTGGTCGTCTTCTACTTTATCCCTAGCCTTCACCAGTGATGAGCGTAAGGGGTCCATTGCACGAAAATACACTCTTATGTCATGATTGTTAAGGATTCGCCTTATCTCATCCGATGTTTCTTTATGGTGAGAAATCACCACTGTACTAACCCGTCTTACCAACAAGTTTCGATTCATCCTTATCTTCACATTTTAAATATCTTTTCATAAAAGCTTTTTTTGTTATAGCTTGAAACCACACATTATTTTTAGTACAAGTATGGAATTTTCAGCATGTGATATCGGTAGCCCAAATTTTGCAGGCCGACCATAGATATCGGGTGTGCGTCGGCAGGGGATCGAACCTCGGACCATGTGCATGGTCGGCGAGAGTCATAACCGTTGTGCCACTGACGCACAATAATAGCTGACATATGGAATTTCGGGAGGAGAATTCACTCAAACCATTCAGGGGGAATTATTTGATTCAAAAGTGGACTGAACCAACTTTAGTTCCCTGATGGTCTTTTCCTTTTCAGCAACTAGACGTGCGGCTCTGTTAATCACATTCTTGGCTACAGTTACTTTTGTGTATGAATGTATCCGCTTTCTGAAAAGTGTTTATTTCAAGTTTACCATCTGGTTGTCTCTTTACCAAATGGTCCAGGAACGGAAAATCATTTTCGTCGGATTCAAACTCATATGATTGGACAAAGTTTTTAAAAACAAGAGATGTCTTTTTTATATCAAAAACTTTTGTTACTTTAATATCGATTAATTTCCCTGAAGAAGTTCGGACCAGTTTGGCGAACGAAACGTTGCAATTACTCATTTCAATCTCGCTGAGATTTTACAAATATAATTTTTTCATATTGGTGTTGAAAATCTGAAATTTGCTCTTTGTGCTGAGTGCAACAGATTTCCAAACTGATTTCAGAATAATGAAGATCCATCTTGCCTTTCAGATTCTGGTTTTGATATCTTTATCCGTGCCGTAACCTGTTGTCGAAACAATGTTGCCTGGATAAGTGACGCGTGCTCGAACCTCAGAAGGGATGTGAGTTCCTTCAAGGTTGCAGATAAGCCTCGCTGATGAGTGCCAACTAGGACGAAACTCAGGTCGAAGGCTTCCAGCCAATTGCCTCCAACCATCTAACACCAATAATTCACAATGCACCGTGATGACGAGTCACCTAGCACATGGTGGCCGCATTGCAAACTTGACTGATAGAATTCAGTTTGCACCAAAGATAGGACTAGACACATCACACTAGTTACTGACTAGTGTTCAATCAAAAACAATTAGTGTGTTATTGTTGGTTGGTTATTTTCATCACCTCCACCTTTTCTGTGTTTACGTGAAATCTTGTCTTTACTACTTCTTCTCTCAAGCTTCTTGGTTTTTGTCTGTAAACCTTCGAATTTGTGACATTAGATATAAATCATCCACGAAGTTCAGATCTGCTATAGAGCCTTCTTATCGGTGGTCTTTTCGCTTACTATGTACGGTCGGTTGCATAATTCAGTCCACCAAAATTAGGAATATCATCCGTGATATGGTATTCAGCCGTGTCTTACTCCTCTGTCTGCACTTCAAAGGCTTCCCTGAGTTTTCCATTGTGGATCACCCCATACGTCAGCATCATCAAACAGCTGTTAAATGAGGTTTATAAAGGTTTGGAGCATTGCACTCCATTGTCACCGAAAGTGAAGTTAGGGTCCCAAACTTCGCAATGCATAGGGCGGATCGACTAAGCTGCAGAGGAGGTGGTGTATCACTTACCACAAGAAGTGCCTGACCTTGTACAACATTGAAACTCACACGACAGTGGAACATGCGAACTTCTACGCTGCAGACTAAAATGTACAGGACAAGATATTGACCTCAGTGCTATATACCGCAGTCCCGACTGCAACGCAGACGACTTTTAAATAGAGAATATTGGAGTTTCGTAGTTGGTGACTTTAACGCCCCAATAGTTGACTGGACGAGCCGTATAACTTCATCCTAAAACAACTCCTTCGACTATAAACTGTTAGCACCTACTATTTCAACAGCTCTAATCCAACATGTCAGGAAGCCTCACAAAAGAGTACTCACGAAATTGGGAAGCCTTCGAATCAAAGGCAGCTTACTAAACTTGATTAGGGAATTCCTCATAAGCAGGAGACAGACATCAGAATCAACTCTAAACTCTCCTCCTGGGCAACAGTAAGTAGTGGAGTGCCACAGGGCATCATACTCGGCCATATCTTATTCATCTTGTATAACAATGAGCTATCTGTGCTCACTGACTGATTCTCCCATGATCCCACACACAGACTATTTAAAAAATGTGGAGGGAGCTGAAGGGCGATAATAATACGCTTACGTCACAAGGAAACTTCAACAAATCGCCGGAGTGATCCAAAGAATGGATGCTCTCGATCGACGTAGTGAAATGCGTAACCATGCGTATTGGATACATGGGCATCATCTCATGCAAACTAGAAGGAATAACACTCACATCAGTTTACACTCAAATGGATCTAGGTGTCATAGTGTGGTGGTGTGATACAGACGATGGGTTCCAACGGAATATTATTCTCACAGTAAGAATCATTGTATTTGTTGGTGTTAACGTCTGAATACTGTTCCCGCAGTTCAGTACTGTATTAGCAACAGAATAATATATGCATCTGAAAATTCTAATTCATGTCGTTTAATGTAAACCCAAATGACACGCTCGGTGATTGGTTAAAGAATAAAAACTGTGTACATGTAAATAGCTGTTTGATCGCTTGAAAATATACCTTGGCCTTCGTGTCTTGCCTTCTACGGTTACGATAATAAGTCACAACTTAAAAACTATGGCACACTGTCGTGCGGTGGCAGCTCGTAGTTTCAGATCCCTATGGACAATACTCAAAGCATTTACTAGAATCACCAGAGATATGTTCGCCACTTTATATATATATATATATATATATGGTGAGGTGATAACTGGAAAACTGCATCCAGGCAGCCAGTCCCTGACTTAAAGAGGACTGACACATTTCAAAAAAGATTCAAAGAAAGGCAACACGTATGAACCTTGGTACGACCAATTTATCATACAAGACTAGTCAGTCTCTCTTCTCTTTGTCATACCGTAAGCAGAGAAGAGAACTCAATACAATGTTTACAATTTGAAATAGTGACTACGGACCTGATCTATTTTCTTCTTTCCTTCCCATCAAGTAGGAACATTTCAGGGGACATAGCAGGAGATTTCAAAAGCCGAGACGAAACGATATGTCTGTGGAGCACTGGTTCTTACACCGAGTTATCAACTTCTGAAAACCGACTCCCAGGAGAAGTAGCGTCAGTGCCTTCAATTTACTGTCATTCACGAAGGGTCTGGACAAGCAGAGAAATTTACAAGAAAAGGATTAACATAAGTTTCAAGCCTATTTATGTTTAAACTAGTACAAGATGATATTCGTGACTTTGACTTATTAACGTCACCCAGTTAACTACGTCAAGACGTGTGTAATCAGTTTAAATGCTTGGCATGATAATCGAAACGCAAAAAACAACACTGTTAATAAGTCAGTTTATAGACAAGATTCATTGCAGGTGATCGCAATTTATCTTGTAGGCAGTGCATAAATCGAATTGATAGAAGTTTGAATCAACAGTGTAAGTAAATAAACGCATTACTCTTTTTTGGATTGCTTGTGTTCCCAAGTGGAACTTGGGGCTTATTGCAAAGTGGAATTACCGTTACTAGCCCTTTTTTTCGAGCTTACTATTTACTTATAAACAAGGCGAGATTTAGGAATCCATCAGCAAAGGAATCAAACTCAGAAATCCCGTGTGGCTGGTGAACATTCTCTAACTGGATGAATTAATTAAAGTGCTTACCTGTAAATTGAAGCTGATTCCAAGACATCCATTGGTATTAGCCGATGAAAAATATCCCGACCTCTAACCTCAGGATCATTATGATCGAATGGGACACCTTTTACAATGCAGACACCTTAAAAATGACATAATAAAAAAACATACATAAACTGAATTCACAATTTGCAATGTACACACACAGTTCGATGGGTGAAAGCAAGCTAGCAAGCAAACACTACTACCGGTTGATATGAATGGTATTCAAATGCTCATCTCAATCAGTCAGCAGTATACAGCTATATGCAAAAACACATACCACGTATTACTCTCAATGAAAACAAAAAATAGGAAAATTCACGGGAAATACCCATCCAGACATGAATATAAGAACAGCAAAGTTCAGCAAAGAACCTCTTTTCGGTGAATACATTCACTTAGCTGCACAATTGTATTTATATACAATTACTTTGCGTATGTGTGTACATTAGGATTGTCAAACAATTTACTTGTTCATGTACAGCAAGGTATGTAGGCCGTTCGATGCGTGTTTTAGCCGAAAAAGTCAAAGAACATTATCCCGCTTAGCTACGAAAAGGTAACAGTGGATCAACAAAGAGTGCTATAATTAAATGACTCGTCCTATTCTGATTAAGGCACTTTTGTTAAGTATGCTGATGATCTGTTACTTCTCAGTCAACTTGTTCCAAAATGAATACCATTTTATCAGAAATTAGTCAGTGGCCCTTGTCGAATGGTCTTAAGCTAAATCCCTCCATATGTCAGGTTGTTAAGTTCACTTTCAAACACTAGCGCAACTTACATGAACTTATTTATTCACATGGTTCCACCATCATAAATGACATAGGGATTGAGACTAAATCAAATTTTAAGTACTTTGGATTGTGTATTTCGTCTGACCTTTCCTGGTCTTCCCACATCACGTTATTTTCCAGAAAGATATTTCGATTAACGTTCTACGCAAGGAAGTTAAGACGATCTGCTATCACTCAGTTTCTATCTTACAAGTTTGTTAATTCTTGTATTCTGCCCATCTTTCTTTACTGCTCCTCCTTAGTCTTTCCCGAGCTACTTAGGAAAGGCCTTTTTATACTGCGAAAGGCATTAAAAGCCGTCAGTAGGGTGAGTGGGTTTTCGCTAAACCAACTCGTGAATACTATTGTAGATAGACACATGGACTCCTGCAAGAAATTAACAAATATTATCTTCTCAAACTGTGAGCTTCGTCTCTATACACAACTCTCTTCTTGCACCTTGTAAGGTAGAACAAAAAAACAACCATAAAAGATTATATGCTCGGACGACTAAGTACAAAAACTCTACAATACCTTATTTAGCACATATTTTATATGATGAGAAAAGTGTAGGGCAGGACACTACCAACTTACTACAGAACTATAAGTAAGTAGCCGTATTTTTCCATTATATTGTCGCCAATACTTTCACTTAATTTAATATTCATTTTCTTATTTAACAATATTAACAATGCAAATGTCCTGTTTTATTTATTGCCTCTGCAGTGAGAAAGTTAGATGCAATACTGTACTACGCATGCTGAAAATTCCACATTTGTACCAAAAATACTGTTTGGGATGTAGCCATTATTATTATTATTATGTCCCAGGCTATAGGTCACACTTATTGTGTGAAGGCTAATGATACTATCTATTTGTTCAGGTTGAAGTAAGCGGAGCAGGAATCGAACTCAGGACCTAATGACCGGAAGTTGAGTGTTAAAGACCATTATTATTATTTCTTTTAATTCCTAGAAGAACATAGGGCTTCAGCCGTGCGTCTCTATTGCTTTCGATTCTCTGCTAGAGTCTTCACCTAGCTCCATGTCTGCCCACACCTTTTCATCTCCTCTTCACGTGACCTCCTCCAAGTCACCCTCACCCCTGCACTGACGACCAACTCGCCGCTTCCCTTTCAGTCGGGTTCCACTCGAGCAATGGCTTGTCTAGTGATGTCACTTGATGGTTTGTTTCCTCAGAGTATGGCCAGCCAATCCACCTCCATTTCTTCCTGCCTATTTGTTTCACAATCGGTTCCTGCTGAGTTGGTTCGCTCCCAGAGATCCCACCCTGTTGCTGATCTTTTCTAGCCAGCCATCTGATCTTGAGCAAGGTATTGAGCGAAGACAACTGTTAGTGAAGGTCTGTAGTTTGTTTGAGATGCTCTGTATGACGCGCAGTGCAAGTCTCTGATCCGTATAGTGAGTAGCACTGACTTCACATTGGAGCTGAAAATCCGGATCTTTTGATCTTTTTGATTCTGAGTGCTGTTGAACTCCACACAGACTTGAGAGTAGTGAAAGCTTGTCTTGCTTTTCCGATTCTTGCTTTGATATCCTCGTCAGTTCCGTCTGTAGTTGAAACGATGCTTCCCAGGAAGGTAAAGGAGGTTGTTTCTTTCAGGTTCCTTCCATTTATGCTGATTGTCGTCTGTTGTTGCTGTTGGTGGTGTTGCCCAGGAATCTTCATCACCTCTGTTTTATCTATGTTCACCTGAAGTCCTATCCTCTCTGGATGCTTCTTCTGCCAACTTGTTGCTTTTCGCTTGCATATCTTCCAGTTTATGGGAAATCAGACATATATCATCGGCGAAGTCCAGGTCTTCCAAGTTTTTTGTGTGAGTCCATCTTATACCTGTTTCCTCATTGCCCACTGTTTGTCGCATTATCCAGTCTACTGCAATCAGGAAAATCACTGGCGATAGTAGGCAGCCTTGTCTTACTCCTGTCCTCACTTCGAAGGACCGTTAAAGACAAGTTCATTGCTAACTGCATGGAGAAGTGACTGCCGAATAACTTTACAATAATCACCATAGATAAAAATAATAACAATAGACGTGACTTTGTAGAAATACACGATGAGCATATTGTTATGCATATCGCATACCTTTAATCTGTTCAAGTAATTCAATCTTCGGTACTGATTCATGATAGACAAAATCATTGTCCCTTGTTGAACTTGTCAATCTAATAAGTATAGGTGTGAATAAAAAGAAATAAAATACAGTAACACAACCATCTTCATTGTAAGAAGTGTACACATTAGAAGTGATCCGATTAAAAGTGTTCATTATATAATGTCTATACCTTGTGTAAAATACAAGATTGAATAGATGAGTTAATGTGTATGCTTAGAACAAAAGTGGCTATGCAATGCTCGCTTCGACCTTTCACCTTTCAAGTGTGTATTTGTTAAATTTCATTTTGTGTTTCGCGTAGATTGATGGTATCATGCCAAAATATTCTGCCATTACTGACATATTGACTCCTTAGTACAGACGCTTCAATGAACTCTGAGCGTTAATTTGATGTTATTTTTTGTGTACGATAATTAGCAGTGGAATCCAAGATGCACATTTCATCTTATTTGAGACTCGGCAGCTGAATGCACCTGTATTCCCAGTGAGTGATGGTGCTTGAAACGATGATCACTGGGTTCGAGTCTCCGTAACAACATCACTATTCACAGGGAATGCAAGTACACCCAGCTGAAGACCCCCAAAGAAAACGAAATGCGCAACCTTGATCCCACTGCTGATATTGTTATCACGCACCAAATTTCAAGTGCATGATTGAAAAGATCACACAGGAATATTTGCATTCCGCAAAACAGGAAACAAATTAAACGTTATGATGATTTGTTTGTAAACAAAGGATAAGCCATTACTCTTAACAGTCATAGTTACTTTTTAAATCAAAGTGAACCTGACTGACTGAGTAGTAGATTAACACGAAGGACGTGGGGATAAAACTGCAGAAGTTTAGGTCGCCACACTTTGAAAAAAAGTGGAAAAAAAGAAATGTGATGAAACCATAATGGACGAAAATATACCAGAGACAGAGATAGAGACTAATCACAACAGTGAGGACTTTCAGAATCTAGAAGATCACAAGGAGTGAGTACCGTTTCTCCATTGTAAATAATTTTGATCTAGGTTATATTGAGTCTGACAATTAATAACCGGTATTTTGAAGAAACCAATCAAGCAAACATAGATGGGCCCCATATAGTACCAAGTGACTGTCATGAGCAGTGAGACACCACTCAATTTAACCAGTAGTACTGGCTAGCCAGATTGAGGTGATCTAATCACTGGGCTGTAATCTCGCTCATTTGAGGCCAAGATCTTCAGCAGTGTACCCAGTTTGACTGAGCTTGGAGAGCCGAATTCGGTCGACCGTATTACCAGATCACCTAAGTGGCTAGCCGAAATTTGATTGGTTTGAACTGATTCGGCTCTCAAACGTAAGTCACACAGGGTACACCAGTGATAAGCTCGGCCCTAAATAGGCAGAACGACCATTCGGGGTTTGAACCACTTCAACGACCTGGCTAGAAAGCACAACTGGTTAAAGTGAATGGTGTCTAGCTACTCATATCAGTCAATCAAATAATGATGATCTTTGCTATGGTTCAACAATCTTTAACTGTTTCCAACCCAATCTGACTTTGGCTAACAGTGCATGTCCACGAAGATGATGAGTTGGAATGAATAACACCTTTTCTAACTAAGTTAACTAATGGAGCTATGCATCTTTATTGGCTGACGTTCCCCCTTCATCTAGCACTCTATGCCTAACTTTTTTACTGCATATCATATTACACCATTTCATGTGAGCCATTGGACGAAAATATCTGGGTGTTTTTTATATCTATTACTATTGGACTCTTTTTCCAGCTGAACACAGATGGATAAAACAAACTACTGTACACCCAGTTATAAAAAAATGACACAAGTTTGCCAAAGAAATCTTTGTATAGCTGAGAAAACTTTCCTAACAAGCAATCATATGAGCAGAGTGAATAACATATCCACTTTACTACCTATCCTTGAACTAGAATTCACCTAAGAGCAGTCATTTCGCAATGCCTGAAGTTTAACAGTCTGTTCAGCGGACTGTTTATTTTGTCAACGTCATCACTCGGGAAAAAAACTATATCATTCGTATACTATAGATTTACGAGTCAACCTAGTAGCAAGTCAATCCCTGAGATGGCTAGCTCAACTAAAGTTACGCCCGTTACAATAAATCTACAAGAAAAATCATATAAGAATGGCAACATTGGGTGTCCTTAAAAGTTAACACTGGTTTTCGTCATAAGTTCTTATTTGAAATCAGTGACTCCCGTCCTAAAGGACCGAATTAGTGTGTAAACCTGTTTTTCCACCAAAGGAACCAAAGGAATGCAACTCCCAGCAACACTTAGCTACCTTATGTATAAGACTTGGTGAGTCGGTGGCATAGCGGTTAGGACGCTCATCGACCATGCACATGGTCCGAGGTTCGATCCCCGGCCGACGCACTCCTTTACCTCGCTAAGCCAGAAATAATGCTGGTGAAGAGGAAACATTGGGCATGAGGCTAGCAACCCCATCCTGTAAAATAAACACTGCTAAAGAAACTTCAAGCCAACTAGCTTGAAGCCCTATGTTCTACTGGGGAACGTGAAGAAAAAAATGTATAAGACTTAATGTCCCATTTATCTCTATATTGTTGTCATGTTCTTTTTGTGTGGTACATGGCATAAACAAAACCGTCAGATATGACTCAAAACTTCCTTTGCATAGACAAAAGCAACCTGGTGCAAAATTTTTTCTGTACCTACTTTTTACGAATTATTTCACCGGCGTATGTAGCACTAGCACGAAAACTACCACTTGAAACCAGCATTGATAAATTCTCAGAATCTTTGAAATTTTTTGCCACAGATTCACAATCTTCAATACGTTTACCAGCAAGCTGGAACCAAGCTATAGCCCTGCCAAATGATTTATTCTCTTCTTCATTTATACCAGCATAATAAGACATAAGAGCTGAATAAAAACTGGTTTTCATTTGACATCGACGACGCCATTCCTATGCATCATAAAAATGAATAAAGGAAAGTTACAGGAAAGTATATATACATATATAAGCGCATGAGAGGTAGCAAAAAGCCTGACTCGAGGAAGTCTAATCGATATATGTTGACCAATAACTACGAACCAAGTGACTAAAATAATTAAGTTACACGGAATGACCTATCCAAGGTAGAATATATACTTACTAAATCAGATAACCAGTAATAAGACCACCCGTCAACCTTCGAATCAATATTTTTATTGATATAATCAAACGATACTACTGATTAACAGCTGTGAATGAATGTGAATCATGATAGAACTAAGGGCACATGTTGCATCTTACTTGGGAACCACCAGCTCAACTTACCCGATTATGTTGAAATTTCTAGTGACATTCGAATACAGAGAGTCTCTTCGAATGCCAAAGCAGCAACGGCTGCATGACTTTGCCGTTGAAGTTTTCTATCCCATATGCTGCAGATTATGACTAAATTTAACAGTCTGTAGTGGTAATTAAACTTCTAACAGGGATTCTTCAATACTGCTTTAATAAGACCCTAGCTGCCACAATTAAGTACTACAAAATATTCGACCAAAATAAAATATAAAGTTCACTAATTTGGTTTTATCCAACAATTCTGAATAGACTGCAGATGCATATATCGGCTTGAGATCACTAGTTGTATTACAAAAGCGACTTCATAAAAGGATCCAATGATGAAAGTTATCAAGCCTTATGAATACACAAATAGAAAGCCAGTATGCGGTCGGCCGGTCGGTTTTCGACATAGAACTTTGCACATATGTGCGCCAGTTCAAGTCGCCACACTCCATGTAGCACACAAAGCAAGAGAAGAAAGTAGAAGAAATGCATAATATAGTCAGTAAACAGAGGTGTGAGACAAAGGAATAGTAATAACGGAAATCATAAGTCACAAGGAGTGGATGCATCTGCGCCACAAAGCCAGTATGCATATAAAGACATGGAAGCATAGAAAAAAAACGGGAAAGAGACAGAGAATATATGTGTGAGGAAATTTATAAAATGATCATCCTTTACAATACTAGGAGCAATAAATACATTTGGGTTACTGTGATCGATTCGGAAGGATAACACGAGTGATTTGTCAGTTCCAAACTGAATTAAAATAAGCTGTTTGAATAATTTAATTTTCACAAAAGAATAACACTTAATCAGACAGCTAGTCCAAACGATTTCCGACTTCCAGTTTGATAGGCACCGAGTCCGAAGACAAATGATAAAAGGTAGAACTTAGTTACTTTTTATGTACCACACCATGAGACAATATTACGTGAGGGTTGACGATTCTAACCAGGTGCCAAGGCTGAAATAGGTGAGGTGACATTCAAAACTCACTTGAACAGACTGGAATTCAAATGCTAAAGCCAACAAGTCATGTCTGTTATCCCGATAACAGAAAAACATTTGGTTACAGGATTTCATCATGAGCTGACATTGGTTAGAGAACCATTGGAAAACCTGAGAGCACTGGACAGCTGTTTCGTCCTAGTTTGGGACTCTTCATCAGTACGCACCCATCGGGGTTCGAACCCAGGACCATCTGGTTACAAGACAAGCTTGTATACCATTCCTGCGAATTGTCCTGCTTATCGTCTATTTTTCGTAACCACAAAACAATTCACTGCATTATGAAGGGAATTTATAGACAGAATGAGTGCATTTTTTGAGAACATAATGACTTTATTTGGACTAATATTTTGAGGAGAAAAAAAGTATAATTAACATAACCAAAATATCTACGATTCAATAAAGCATACCTTGCAAAACTTTGGAAGTAATATTTCATCACTTGACTCGAAGGATAGGAGTTGAACACCAACATTTTCATAAACATCCATTATGTATTGAGATAACTTAGCATTCACATTAGCCGGTCGGTAATCCAGTATGGACTTTTCTACAACACACTCCTGTGCTTGTGCCTGAATAAATTTGGAAAACAAGCTGTTTTAAACCAGTTTTAGAAAATATAATTTCATCAAAATAACATTTATGAAGTTTTAATCTACTTGATTTCAACTAGCTCGAACATTTTTAAATGATTATTAATCTTTACACGAATATTTTGGTATAATGATATGATTCTGTGCCAACCTAATAATTGTAACTATTAATGTCACTGGTATCAATGTTACCATTCAAAACACTAAGTGATGCACGAGATGGGTTGGATATTACTAAGTGTGCACTAACTGAAGGCAAGATGCTGCTCCTTAGCATAGTTTCCAATAAAAAATAACTGTCATTTTGTCAACGCGACCGTTGATTTCATACTGCCTTAATGATGTAGCTTCTTGAAAGTATAATAATGCAGTTATCTAAATTAACCCCATGTACCAAAACTATCCGTGAGAGGAATTACAACTCGTAATCAGGTTAAAAATTAAAAACTGAAGAGGAAACTTACTAGCATAATGGATGCAAAAGCCAACATGAGATCGCCGTTTAAATCAGGTGCACCTGGTAAGGGTAAATGACGCTCAACCAGTGTATTCAAAGCCCATGAAGCGCACTGAAAGTGAGTGCAAGCTACTTTCATACTCTGGAACAAACAAACATGAATTAGAAATGGGATTAGTGATAAGCACCGAACGCAATAAGGTGTCGATTTTTAAACACAACTCAATTCCAGATTAGTGAAGGAAGTTTTATTATTTGAAATATTACTATAGTTAATTAGACCTGACATACGGAAGTGTATCTTACCCATATAAAAAGTGAGGCTAAACCCACGAGAAAATCAAACTGAAGAGTGAATACGTCACCCATACACTATAGACGTCTATGTGCAAGGGCGTAAGAGGTGTCTACTGAATTGGACTTCACGATAACACGTTGCATATGAACGAGATGATATGACTAAAAGTCGCAGATATGACAATACCCAAACATAAATTCGGAAAGTTACTCCCCTATGTTAAATTATTTCTACATTTCCTCCCTCCCTGTTGTGTATGAAGACTATAATTTACGCGAGGCAGTTCATCGGGAGTAATAATTGTATAATATATACACATTTATAATATTATCTAACCATGACTTTGTCATACATTCAGAGTATACAATGTGGAATGATCTAATAAAGTTTCTTATTCCCACACGTAGTGATCAGGGTAGCAAGATGTTTTTTAGGTTTCGAAGAGACACTGGCACTTATAAAACCTTTCTTATTGCTGAGGTGTAAAATTGATCTTGTCTGTACAAAGTTAGATCGAGGATATTAACCAACGAAATTAAGTAGCAAAGTGATGTTCAGTCCGATGCCTTATAAATAAAAGGGCGTGTAAAGCGATCCTATTAATGACAAGACAATTAAATGCGAGACGGTCTTTATGCACTTTAGTAAAAGGCAAAACGTAACTTACATCTGCGTCCGCACGCTTTTCTTTGACACCAAGAATAGAATGTAGTGCTGCAATGTTATACATTACAGAAGCTTCCTCAAACCGAAAATCAGAAGACTCAGAGTAACTGTTTGAGAAAGCATCCTGCCTATTTTAACAGTAAATTATCTATAGTTGATTACCATTTCCATGTTATGTCTGTACATTGTTCCGCTGTAAAATGAAATCTGCCTTTCAGTAATTGCAGTTGGGCATAGTAACGCTTTAGCTGGGACAAACCCGTGTAATCAATAGAAGGTTCACAAGCAGACTAATGCAATGACAAAAAAATTATTAAACTCCATTATACTTTACGTAGGCTAATAAATTCGTTGAATTCCTTCTCATAAGTGCTGGAAGATTGCTGATATTGTACTTCTATGTACTAGACAACATTTAAGCATTGAATAATTAATCATACCCTTTTAAGTGGCTGTAATTCAGGAACGAATTCTGATTTCTTTAAACATAAACTGACAGAAGGAATCCGAGGAAGACCATCCATCGCTGACCTTGTAAAATCGAAAGTTCCACCGCAAGTGACCCGCCTTTCAAAATCAAGTGAGAAATTCATAAACTCGAAATTGATTTCTGCAGAGTCCCCTGAGACCTACTTTTGTTGTTTTTGGAAACTGTTATTCAGCTATTGGCCATGCCACCACTTATTGAACTCCCAGACTCCATATGGTGTCATTTCACCACAGGCCACACCAAGCTTTTACTGGGTGGCATCTACTAATCACCCATCTGTAAGGCAGAACACAACCAGCTACTGCTCAGCACCATCACAGGGATACGGGACTTGGGTTATGACCAAATCATTATAGCTGGAGATTTAAATGCCCCATCAGTGAACCTTTGTTTGGGGTATTCTAAGGGAAAATTAGGTCGAAATCTACTGCAAACCACTCGAAATACAGGACTGACTGTGAAAGCTGGAGATGACACTATGTGGAGCCCCAGTGGAATGTCATTGAAACTAGACTACTTTATAACTAGTAACTAACTACTCGTCAAAAAGGTCCAGATCATGAGTCCTGCGTGAGCATTTGCAGTGGGACGTTATACGACCATTTCTGTGTTACAGCCAGGCTGACGGTGCTGATAAGCGGAGGCTCTTGTCCGACGCAGACTGGCCCTTAGCATGGGATGAGCTATCTGTGGATGAACACTGGGAAGCGGTAAAAGAGACTATTCATACAGCAATCTCGGATACCATCCCTTTAGTCACAACACAGTCCAAAAGAAAGTCATCATGGCTGAAGAGAGGTGCGCAACGAATTCTGCAAGCACAGCGGAAGGCTTGGTTTACGTGGCGCGTTTCCAAGAGTCAGAAAGACCACGATGCATACCTGGAAATCAGGAACCGGTGCAACGTGAGAGTCAGGAGTGACAGGAGGTCATTCCAGGTCATTGCCAAAAAACTCCTAGCGAACCCCGAAAACTTGCATCGATTCATGTCGGAAAGAAAATCAACCAACCAGGTGGGCATGCGCCTTAGTAGGCCAAAACGGTCAATATCTCACTAGTCTGGGGATGGCGGAAACATTCAGTTCAGCCTTCACAAAACAGTTAAACAGCAATGTGGGTATTACCGGTACGGACCAAAATGGTGGCTCTACTATTTCACCAGAGGAAGACCTAGTGGCTACTCCCCGAATAAACCCAGCAATAGTACTAAGGAACCTACAGAGACTCACATCTGGAAGATCCCCCTGGTTGTGACGGCATCAGGCCATCTGTTCTGAAACAGCGCGCCGAAGCTTTCTGTAGGCCCTTGTGCGACTTGTTCCAACACTCAATGGATTCGGGGAAACTGCCAAGGGAATGGAAAAGAGCCATCCTTTCTCCGGTCTTCAAGGGTGGAGATAGGCAAAATGCCACTAGCTATAGACCAGTAGCTCCACTCTCAGTGGCATCAAAAGTATTATTGACGGTCACACCAGGGATTACCTCGATGGGTCTAATATACTCCATGAAGCCCAACACTGTTTCAGGAAAGGCAGATCCTGTGTTACTAACATACTATCAGCTTGGGACGATTGTACATCATGCTGGAATATGAATGTTCCAGTCCATATGGTCTTCCTAGAAATTGAGAAGGCATTCGACACTGTTCACCATGACCTCCCGCACAAAATAAGCCAAGTAGGTATAGGTAAGCCACTTCTGTCATGGTTGGAGGACTGCCTAGCTGAAAGGAAATTCTGCACTAAGGTCAATTGAGTTCGATTATCTTGGCACTGCTTGTCACCGGGAGTGTCGCAGGGTTCTATCCTAGGACTACTGATGTTTTTAACTTTTATTAATGATCTACCATGCCGTCTAAGCTGCCCGACGCTAATATACGCTGACGACGTAAAGAGATGGAGAGCAATAAAGTATCCGGAGGACTCAGATAGGCTGCGGACAGATCTAGATCTTCTGGAAGACTGAACGGTGGCCAGTGACGTGACTTTCAACCTGAAAAGGTGCAAAGTAGGGAAATTACGCACCTGTAGACAGCAGAATGCAATGTCACCCTATGTAATGAAAGCTTGTCCTGCACAACGTCGGAACATGACGTAGGTCCAGTTCTAATCGAAAAAATGAACACAAGCGTAAATTACACATGGAATGTAGCGAGGGCATTTGCGGTCATACACTTCACACATAGACAGTTAGGTGCACTCACTCCTGAGCTCTTTCTAAGGTTGTACAAAACATATATCGGACCACACCTTGAAGTGCATAATATTATTGCACCCCTCACTGCTTAGAAGAGACTCCAACCTCTTGAAAAGAGTCCAAAGGAGTAGTTGGTCTCGGAAATAAACCATATGCTGAAAGGCTAAGCAAATTAGGCCTATTCACACTTAGCCACCGTCGGCTTAGGGGGGATTTGATTACTGCTTACAAAATAACAAATGACCAGAATCACTCAAACAAAGGTGTTCTGCCACCGAGTAGGTATAGGCTTTCTCGTGGAAATCCCAGAAGGATAGCTCACTAGAGGGCAAAGATCCGGGAGCAATTCCACTTCTTTTCACTGCGGGTTTGCCGTCCCTGTAATTCCCTACAAGGAGAAGTAGCTATGGCCACGCCTTTAAGCGAAGGCTGGACAATCATGCAGCGACACAAGGACTTCGTCCAAATGGCCTATCCCCTTTAAATCCCATACACCATTCGGGGGTAGACAACTAAGTTCGTCGTTTCGCTTCTTTACATTCTCTCCCGTCTTACTCTCCTGACAGCTCTAACTACACTTATTATTATTACTGATATATATATATCAACTTCAAATTTAATCAGCTGTCTCTGTTTACGTCTTCTTTATTTCTTTTTCTGTCTGTTAGTCTGAATAACTTCACTAATTTCATCTATTATTATCTCTTTTCTTTTGACGACGATACCGTAGGACTAACCGGTGAAAGGATCAGCTGCATTCACACAAGTAACAGTCTTAACACACCTCATACTACAAGTTACATATAATTAATCCCAGCACTACTCCTTTGGGAGTCAACCAAAACTACGACAGCCGAGTGGCCGGACGAGCTACACAGAAGTTTACCGAAGATCAGGAACCTGTATCTCATAATGAAGAGGCGAGCACGAAGAAATCAAATTGGTTTATACTAGCTCGTAAAAACGATATTGGAACACATTTAACACCCTTCTTGTTGAATCGAGATGATTCTAGATCTTAAGTAGATTCCAATACGAGTCGTCCTCTCGAATTCCTTAGCTTTACTGAAAGCAATAAGGGGAGGTACATTAGTTTATTTGGGAAGGAATCCATGCTTTTTATTATAACTAGCGGACTGCTAGGACTTGTAAATGTTTCACCAAACACTCCTCCGATTATGTCAAAAAGCACTTCAGAGTAGGAGTTGCTGGGCGGAAACGCAATCTGGAGTATAAGTGGAATAAAAATGAAGAGTGAGGAAATGTTGTCGTTTTGAGGCAATTAAGACAATGAGAACTCACTAGTACAACAGGAACAGAGGAAAAAACTAGATCGGTTCTGATAGCAGTAATAAAAAATAGTGAAACATAGAAAAACTAATGCTAGTGTTAGCACCTAGAAATCATTTACTTGGCATATGCATATCAGCAGACGTATAGTTTCTACGTAATAGTCAAAATTAGTCTTAAGGCTAACTTTTTATGGAGCATTTGATGCGTAGTTCGGTAGTGAACTTCATAGGTAGCAAATCTAGAGGGAATATAGCCTGGTCCTTCACTTAATCTCTGGTCTCTGTTCAGCAGCTTTTCTATGATTACTCTAGAGAATAAGATACTGCTCTTCTGTCAGTATGTATCAGGTAGGGTGTATTTGGGTCACACACTATTTCGTATTTCATTTTTAGGTCGCTGCTAGTTCTATGGTGGTCGAGTATATAAATATCCAGATGACATAGTCAGCTGTCGTTTGTTCGATATTTCCGTCCAGTGAGAGCTTCGGCAGACCTCCTGTTTACTAAGAGATTCTTATATCTCTTCAAGAATGGAGGTGTAGTAGTATTTTGAATATCAACTGTCTATTCACGCCACAGGTTGGCTCACTAGCTTTGGCTGGGTCTCCTGAATAATTAGTAGTTGTGCCTAATTTATCTCTAAGGGATCTATCAATGTTTCACTCCGTCTACGTATCGGTAAATTCCTTTCCAGCGAGCGGTATAGTAACCTTTATCCTACTGGTGTCAGCATGAATATTGCCCGATATTTATTAATACAGAAATCTAACTTATTTCTGTGGCCAGATAGTTTATGTTGACTAGATCTTCTTGAAGCTCGATCGAAATTCCTCCGAATCTTTCGATCATTCATAGCTTTACACCATCTGAACAAAGAAGCATCTGAGAACTTTAGTTAATAGGGAGATGGTTGATAAAGATAGAGAAGAAAAATGAACCTGGAACTGCTCCTTGTTTTACCTCAGAAGTCACTACACTTCACGTGCAGCATAATCCATTCGCCTTCGTGCAGTTGACTACAACTTCAGGTAGGCTCAAATGTCAGAGAATGATGGGTTGCTAATACCCGTTTTTGATCCGTGAAATAATGATAATAACAACGGTCAAATGACCAGCGAACAAGGAAAAAGAGAAAGACACTGTAATATTCCCAAGAATCTAGGCAGCAGCTTATGTTATGTCGCGAAGTAAGTTAGTAGCCTAATACCTATGGAAACAAAGAGGGCATAATTGTCTTTCCCAGGTAATCTGTAGGGAATACTATGACTGAATGTGATTCCCTCGCCTAAGGTGAGCCTCCCGAATTCTTCCGTGGATGGCATGTGGTCAGGAAAGGTTTCTCAGGGGAGGTAAATAAATCTTTCCACTGTTTTCACTAGCCTGAAGGTGATGGAGATAGGTCGAAACTCTGATAATCTTATACCATGAGGTTCGAACCCACTATGTCCTATGTTCCAATGAGAACTATATAACTTATGGCCGACTCAGCTCACCTTGAACTTCCTGGAGGGTAATTTCGAAAGTTAGGACAAATTCGCTGAAGGCT